TCAGAATCTAAGATTGGAGTGTGCTTTCACCAACGCTTTCAACCTGCTTAATTCAGTCGACTTTTGTTGCTCAAGGCACATGTCAAAATTAGCCTTTAAGCACTGATTTAATCTCTGGTATAATTACACTGCTCTTCACCCCTGAGGCTTTTAATTCTTGATTATATGCTAAAAAGTGACAAAGCTTCAGGAATAAAAAATATATCTATTTAATACCTTTAAATAAGCTTGGTGATAGGAGGAGGAATTATACATGGATTGAGTTAGACTGAGGTGGCTGATCATTTGGGCAGGTGCTGGCATAGGGAAGGAGTGAGTCAACAGTTTCATTTTCCCCAACTCACCAATCTGGTTATGAGCAGATGGGCCAGCTCTTAAAAGAGGGTAGGGGGACTGGCAAGTGGCATGGTGGTTAAGGGCGCTGGATTCTCACATGGTTGACCATGGCTTGAGTCCTGGACCTGGTGGCTTGCTTTCTCACTTTCTCTTTCTCTATGGTCAAATTAAAAAATAATAACAAATAGAATTAAATACATACATCTTTAAAAAAAATAAAAGGGGGTAGAAAGAAGATTAGAAACAGAGTTTATAGTTTCTGCTCCTGAACACTCAGGTTCTTCTTCTGTAGATTGTGGCTATAACAGCTAATATTTACTGAGCACTAACTCTCAGCTGCTATTCTAAATACTTTAGTCATTTGATTTTTGAGGTAGTTATAAAAATTACTATGCCCATTTTAGAAATGGGGGAACTGAGGCCATTGGGAGATTAAATAACAGCCCAAGGCCATACATTTTGTCAGTAGTAGAACATGAATTTGAATCCAGAAGTCTAGCTCCATAACCCACACTCTTAATCCCAAACTGTAGGGCCAGTAGCCATTGTCTCACCCCTACTTCCCCCTTCCTCAATGTTTCATGAAGGAATAAAGGTGTGGCTATTCATGTGGGGTGAACTGCATGCAAGCTAAAAGTTCCATGCTGTTCTCAGAACCACCCAACACCTGGGGTGTCCAGTGCCCTTGGGTGAGGAGTAGAACAGAAGACGGTGGCCTGGGATGTGAAGCTAGGCTCTGTCCCCTCCAGTCTCAGGCTCTTAGGAAATCATTCAATTATTCAGGGAAACTGAACCTTAGCTTCTCAGTCTGTAAAATGGGTGCAGCAATGATACCTATTTCTCTGTGCAACAATGACGTGGAAACAAGCCTACGAATATCGAAACATTAAGAAAAACTATAAAGGGCTAATAATGGTTGCCCATTTCCTGAGCACTAACTCCACACAGGGTCCTGCATGGAGACCTTTATTTGACCTATCTCATTTAGGCTCATGGATGCATTCAACAGTGAATACTAACAGGAATCTGATTTTACGAATGAGGACACAGGCTCAGAGAGGGAAGTGATTCGGCTGGCCTCATACAACCAGAAAGGGTCAGAGTGTTTGAGCCCATGTCTGACCCTCCCATCTGATGCTGCTCCCATCACAGACCTCCATAGGCAGTGCATTTGTAGGGTCTCCACTCCTTGCTCCATGTAGCCTTCTCCATGGCTACCTCTTAGCACTTGCCCAGTTCCCCCAGTGCCTCCTGGTCTTTGTCTTTTGACCACTAGGAGCTTGTTCCCAGTGTTCTATGTCTCCTTATCGTCCTTCTCCAAGGCCTGCTCTGTATCATCCCTTACACTTCAACTTTCAGAGCAGTTCCTGTTGAGGGGGTGGCATCAAAGAGTATTTTCCCTACCCTTTTTGTTTTCCTTGTTCTTTCCCGCAGGTGCAGTCCTGGAACTCTGCATGGTTGGATGTTTGGAGTCTGTGATCCTCAGCAACTCAACTTAGGTTTAGAGCTGCTCTGGATACCAGGCCTCTTTTGGGTAACAGGGTAGGCCATAGCGTTATGTGGCAGGAAATGCAGGTTACTCTCATGGCATTAACTCAGACGATGTGAATGTATTAATGCTGCTAGGCTATGTCTCAAGAGTCTAGGAGGGCAGGGAGGGAGTGGGCTGAATACATGTGTTTGCCGGTCAGACTCAGGCTCATTGCTTTTGGACACATCTCATTCTGTTAATATCATGGGAGAACCAAAACCCACCCACTCTCTGCTCCAAGTCCAACTCCCCTGAAGTGGAGTATGCTTTGGCTCAAAGGCCATTTTGAGTGCAAAGGGGGAAGGTAAACTGACACAGAACAAATCAATTCTTTGTCCTGTAAAATCAATGCTCTGTCTTCAAGGAATCGAAGGAAAAAAGCAAAGGTTGAATTTATAAAGCAGACACAATACTATCTCCGTCTTTCTCGAGGGACATCTGTATTTCTGGTTTTCTCCTGACTGATGAGAAGGAACCTCAGATCTTATGGGTATGCTCTTGTGCACAGCTGGCTTCTACCGCTTCTGATGGTTGTCTCATCTTCACCTCAACTGAATGTCACCGGAACTTACAGAATGCTGTGGGGGAACAGGAGAATGACAAATTACTATACTTGGCTGGTCTCATGGGGGTCAATTAAGCCAAACAAAACCCAAGAGAAGGATAGAGCATTAAACGCAAGTAGAGGCAGTAGACCTAGGAGGAGTTGGGAGAAAGGAGAGGCCAGTGTGGGCTCAAAATGGGGAGAAGTTGTCTGGTTTTGTAAAGTAAAAGGATTTTTAAAAGATAAACATGATTGAAGATGCTCTTAGCTTTCTGAGGGTGAGCACACCCTAGGCAAAGGCACTCATTTGAGAATGAACAAATCTGACCTCTTTCCTCTCCTTTGTTATCATGTGTGCTCAACCAGGGCAGCTTTCTAGTTTGAATGAATAGAAAACACATGTCACAAAGACCTAGAAACCAGATGAAATCTGTTAGTCTTTTAGGTGACTATTAGTGTTACAAGATGCCCTTAACACAGATAAAAAAGGCACCAGAGGGAACCAGCAGTTAGCGTAATGGCTATGTCGCTGGACTCCCACGTAGTCGACCGCGGTTCGTGTCCCGGACCCGGTGGCTTAAAACTCATGCCGGGCGCGTGTTCGTGCGTGCCCAAGATCCCGAGAGGAGAATGGAGGAGAAGGGATTGCGGCGTGACCATCCCCCCTGCGGGGTGATTTCTCGCTTTCTGTCTCTATGTCTCTCTCTGTCTGTCTGTCTGGCGAGCGCACGCGCACTACAATGAAAATCTCTCAAAAAAAAAAAAAAAAAGACACCAGAGTGTGAGTTCTAGAGAACTGGGACCATGGCCTAGCTGGCTACTAAATATTGGATTGTTAGAAAACTTGTGACATATTTTTTCAAGTTTTTCTATGCAAAAATGCATCATGACTTTTCTGATCACCCAATAGCTGCTCATTCCATCTTTCATCCTGGCCTCAGTCTCTTCCTCTGTAAAAATTGCTTTTGCTAGGGCCGGCACATGGCATGGTGGTTAAGATGTTGGACTCCCACATGGCCGACCATGGTTTGAATCCTGGACCTGGTGACATGCTTTCTCACTTTTCCTCTCTCTCTCACTTTCTCTCTTGATCAATCTCGCCAGTAGCCATTGTCTCACCCCTACTTCCCCCTTCCTCAATGTTTCATGAAGGAATAAAGGTGTGGCTATTCATGTGGGGTGAACTGCATGCAAGCTAAAAGTTCCATGCTGTTCTCAGAACCACCCAACACCTGGGGTGTCCAGTGCCCTTGGGTGAGGAGTAGAACAGAAGACGGTGGCCTGGGATGTGAAGCTAGGCTCTGTCCCCTCCAGTCTCAGGCTCTTAGGAAATCATTCAATTATTCAGGGAAACTGAACCTTAGCTTCTCAGTCTGTAAAATGGGTGCAGCAATGATACCTATTTCTCTGTGCAACAATGACGTGGAAACAAGCCTACGAATATCGAAACATTAAGAAAAACTATAAAGGGCTAATAATGGTTGCCCATTTCCTGAGCACTAACTCCACACAGGGTCCTGCATGGAGACCTTTATTTGACCTATCTCATTTAGGCTCATGGATGCATTCAACAGTGAATACTAATAGGAATCTGATTTTACGAATGAGGACACAGGCTCAGAGAGGGAAGTGATTCGGCTGGCCTCATACAACCAGAAAGGGTCAGAGTGTTTGAGCCCATGTCTGACCCTCCCATCTGATGCTGCTCCCATCACAGACCTCCATAGGCAGTGCATTTGTAGGGTCTCCACTCCTTGCTCCATGTAGCCTTCTCCATGGCTACCTCTTAGCACTTGCCCAGTTCCCCCAGTGCCTCCTGGTCTTTGTCTTTTGACCACTAGGAGCTTGTTCCCAGTGTTCTATGTCTCCTTATCGTCCTTCTCCAAGGCCTGCTCTGTATCATCCCTTACACTTCAACTTTCAGAGCAGTTCCTGTTGAGGGGGTGGCATCAAAGAGTATTTTCCCTACCCTTTTTGTTTTCCTTGTTCTTTCCCCCAGGTGCAGTCCTGGAACTCTGCATGGTTGGATGTTTGGAGTCTGTGATCCTCAGCAACTCAACTTAGGTTTAGAGCTGCTCTGGATACCAGGCCTCTTTTGGGTAACAGGGTAGGCCATAGCGTTATGTGGCAGGAAATGCAGGTTACTCTCATGGCATTAACTCAGACGATGTGAATGTATTAATGCTGCTAGGCTATGTCTCAAGAGTCTAGGAGGGCAGGGAGGGAGTGGGCTGAATACATGTGTTTGCCGGCCAGACTCAGGCTCATTGCTTTTGGACACATCTCATTCTGTTAATATCATGGGAGAACCAAAACCCACCCACTCTCTGCTCCAAGTCCAACTCCCCTGAAGTGGAGTATGCTTTGGCTCAAAGGCCATTTTGAGTGCAAAGGGGGAAGGTAAACTGACACAGAACAAATCAATTCTTTGTCCTGTAAAATCAATGCTCTGTCTTCAAGGAATCGAAGGAAAAAAGCAAAGGTTGAATTTATAAAGCAGACACAATACTATCTCCGTCTTTCTCCAGGGACATCTGTGTTTCTGGTTTTCTCCTGACTGGTGAGAAGGAACCTCAGATCTTATGGGTATGCTCTTGTGCACAGCTGGCTTCTACCGCTTCTGATGGTTGTCTCATCTTCACCTCAACTGAATGTCACCGGAACTTACAGAATGCTGTGGGGGAACAGGAGAATGACAAATTACTATACTTGGCTGGTCTCATGGGGGTCAATTAAGCCAAACAAAACCCAAGAGAAGGATAGAGCATTAAACGCAAGTAGAGGCAGTAGACCTAGGAGGAGTTGGGAGAAAGGAGAGGCCAGTGTGGGCTCAAAATGGGGAGAAGTTGTCTGGTTTTGTAAAGTAAAAGGATTTTTAAAAGATAAACATGATTGAAGATGCTCTTAGCTTTCTGAGGGTGAGCACACCCTAGGCAAAGGCACTCATTTGAGAATGAACAAATCTGACCTCTTTCCTCTCCTTTGTTATCATGTGTGCTCAACCAGGGCAGCTTTCTAGTTTGAATGAATAGAAAACACATGTCACAAAGACCTAGAAACCAGATGAAATCTGTTAGTCTTTTAGGTGACTATTAGTGTTACAAGATGCCCTTAACACAGATAAAAAAGGCACCAGAGGGAACCAGCAGTTAGCGTAATGGCTATGTCGGCGTGACCATCCCCCCTGCGGGGTGATTTCTCGCTTTCTGTCTCTATGTCTCTCTCTGTCTGTCTGTCTGGCGAGCGCACGCGCACTACAATGAAAATCTCAAAAAAAAAAAAAAAAAAGACACCAGAGTGTGAGTTCTAGAGAACTGGGACCATGGCCTAGCTGGCTACTAAATATTGGATTGTTAGAAAACTTGTGACATATTTTTTCAAGTTTTTCTATGCAAAAATGCATCATGACTTTTCTGATCACCCAATAGCTGCTCATTCCATCTTTCATCCTGGCCTCAGTCTCTTCCTCTGTAAAAATTGCTTTTGCTAGGGCCGGCACATGGCATGGTGGTTAAGATGTTGGACTCCCACATGGCCGACCATGGTTTGAATCCTGGACCTGGTGACATGCTTTCTCACTTTTCCTCTCTCTCTCACTTTCTCTCTTGATCAATCTCTTTCTGGTTATCACATGTGCCCTATAGCAAATTTTAAAATAATAATGAATAAAATTAAATAACTCAGAAATAAAGAAAGAAAAAATTCCTTTTGCCTTCAAGTTCCATGGTTGCCTTTCTCCCTGGGCTCCCTGGGAAGTGTCTAGGTGCCCCAGATGAATTCAGCCACAGTGTCCTGCACACCAGAGTATCCAGGTATATGTAAACAAAGCCCAGGAGCCAATGGCACTGAGTTTTCAGCAGTTCACAGCCTCCTCCCACCATGGCACACGGAGTCTCAGCCTGAACTTACTTGTTCCCAAGGATGGCACCTGCTCCTGCCCTGTGCCCTCCTGGATACAGACAACACCTTCTGTATCTAACCCTTGTTCTCCCTCAATACCGACCCAATGGCAAATGCACTAGTGGAAAGTGTAGACTTGGCCCAATAGCTGATGGGAGATGGAGGAGAGATTTGCCTCCTACCAGCCTCTGTTGAGATATCTCTGTTCTTTTCCCCCAGGATTTCATCCATCTGTCCATCTTCTCCCATGTCTTCATCCTATTTCTTACATATGCAGAACAACTTCTCTTCCTTCCTCTCTCTCTCCCCTGACTAAACACACAATTCGTGTTTGGGAAAGGGCTCTCCTTAAAATGCAGATGTATTATAAATAATAAAACATGTTCTCCATCACACAGAAATTGGGCGAGAAAGGTGCAGTGAAGGTAAAGCAAGACTAGAGAGACGTGAAGGAAGAATGCACTTGTACCCAGAATGCTCTGTCTACTCACATGAGCTGCCCATGGGAGTGAGAGTTTGGGGGCCCTCAGCTCTCAGTGGAAAGTGCAGTCAGTTGCATGATTCAGCCTATGCACCAGTGCAGGGGAAGGTAGCACAACAGACCACTAGCTGTCCCCCAGGAGTCATTCTCTCCTTCTATGAGGAACAAAATTGTAGTTGGGGATATAGTCGTGTTTCCAAGCCTCCTTTGCAGCAAGGGATGGCTGTGGGAGCTGTGGACAGAAGGACTCTTACTTCTGGGTCCAGGATTGGGAGTGTGATTTCCTGGTCCTCTAATCGCTTCCTTCTGGGAGCAAGGGATGGCATCTATGTGTTGAGGGTGACAGTCCTTGCCAGCCTTGGACACTTACTCTGGGCTGTTTCAAAAGGAAAGAACACTTTTTTCTTATTGAAGCCACTGTGTGTTTTGGGCCTCTTGGAAAAGCAGCCTAGCCTGTATTTAAATTCAACAGCTGTTCTTGTACTAAGACAGCGAGAAGTCGTCTATTCAACTCATCCTTTCTACAAGGATCTGAAGTGCCATCTTTATCACAGACTGTATTGTCTCCTCTGGAATGAAAACATCAGCGAGAAGCAATGAACTAGAAATCCATGTTGTGAAACAGACCTTAAAAGCATAGTATTGAGTGAAAAAAATTATCACCCAGTACAAGATTTATAGCACAATAACATTTATGTAAATTAAGCTTTGCTCCAAGCCCACACTGCTTTATTTCAAGGAATTTTGGGTATCTCCAAGGACATACATGAACTCATCAGAAAGGATGTTCAAGGAGAGGGATAAAGAAGGAAAAACATATTTGCAAGAGATAGATTATGATAATGGGCATCAATGGAGGAATATGGCTAACTCCCCACCTGAAGAGAATATACACACATGCAAGCATGTACATACCCGTGCACACACTCATGCTGTGGAGAACAGGAGTATGGGGAGTAGAGGAGCCAAAATGCTGTCTATGATCTGAGGCTTTGATAAGACAGTTCCATTAGAAAAACCAGGGTGAGGTTGGGATAAACCCTAAACAGATTCAGGTCTTTTCAGGGCCTCATTTTTGGCCTGTGCTTCATAGAGAAGTTTTCTTACATGATAACCGCTATGTCTGCTCAGATGCAGAATGAGGGATGCAATTCTAAACACTCAACTAAAAACAAGATGGAAAAGCTTCTAGCACAGCTCTTAATCTTGAACGCAGGCACCAACCACCTGCAGGTCCCCGATCAGGAGATTTGATCTAGGGTCTGAGATTCTCATTTCTAACCAAGTCACAGATGCTGCTGCTGCTGCTGGTGCATGGGCCAGACTTTGGTCAGCCCCTGAAATACTTAAACCTATCTCAATAGTCAATAAGCGGAATTTTTAAAATAAAAGAAAGAAATGGAACCAAGATAGTCTTGAGTCCTAGTATTTTCCCAGGACTGTCAGTTACGTATATATTTAATTTATGACCAGTTTCCAGGAAAATACTCTATTGCCACGCAGCCTGTGTGTTTTCTTTTATGTTAATGAAGACACATGCATAAGACACATCTCATGGGGCCAGGTGGTGGTGCAGCAGTAACGCGACTGGACCCACATGGGTAGAGGTTTGTGTCCTGAGACCTCCCTGCACCTGCTGGGCACACATGCTGTGTCCATGGTCTGGGCTAACTGAGACTGGAAGGGGAGCATGGTGGGAAGACCCTGTTTTGGGTGCTTGTCCCTCTGTCTCTCAATAAACTTAAAACAAAACAAAACAAAACAAAAAACAACTGAAAGGGGCTAGCAGATGGTGTGGTGGTTAAGGTGGCTGGATCCCACGATTTCAACAATGCAGAGATCAAGTCCCAGACCTGGCATCTTGAAAAACATACCATGTCTAGGTGCATGTGTGCATGCCCAAAATCCTGAGAGGAGAATAGAGGAGTAAAGTTTGTGGTGTGTTCATTACCCCTGAAGGGTGTCTTCTTACTTTCTGTCTCTCTCTGACAAGCACATGTGCCCTTTGGCAAATTAAAAAAAAAATATGTTCAGAAAAAAAAGAAAGCAATATCTCAGGAAACTCTCTAGATGTGTTTAACTTTGTGGGTTTGATGTAAGAAAAGCACCACGTTCATTAACTATGTTCATAAAAGATATAGTCCAAAAAAATAGGGGCTAGACAGTGCAAGGGTTAACACAACTAGATCTACATGGGAAGGTCCCAGGTTTGTGGCTTAGGCTCCCTCTGCCTACCAGCTGCATGTGCACGAGCCATCATCCGGCCCGATGACACTGAGGATGCACCGAGGTGTAAGGGCCCTGCTGGGGGTGCCTTTCTCACTTTCTCTTTCTTTGAAGGAAGAAATACTTGAAGAAAGTTTTAAAAGAGAGAGAGAGAAGAAAGAAAAGAAAGAAAACGAAAGAAGTAGCCAGGGAAACAGTAGATAGGTGATGACAAAATTTTTTTTCATTGTTGTTTTAAATCTTACTCACAAAATCATCATTGTAACCAGCAGAGCTTTCACGTGGCTGGGAAACGCCTGAAGAGTGTTAGTAATTGTTTTGATTGGACCTGGTGAATCACAGGAGTTGAACAAAACACCACTTACTAAACTCTGAAGCCTGCCAGTAGTTATACAAGCTGACTTTCCTTGCAGTGCTTAGAGCCTGAGAGCAGAAACGTTGCTAGGAGTTTACAGACTAAAATGATGTCCCCCTTGGATTCTTCCCTTAGTGAATTGTGAATCCGCAGACCTAAGGTTATTTCCAAGATACGGAGGAAGGCCAGACCTGTAGAGAGAAAAGCTAAAGTGAGGCTGAAGAGATGTCCAGGTACATCAGAAAGAAAGTGGACCACCTTTTCAAAAGACAGGACTGGGGACAGGAGGCATCATTCAGGTGTGTGCAGAGTGGTTCATCCAGGCATGTGGACATATGATGGCATCCAGACGTGTGGATTGGTGACAGGACTGTCTCTGACTCCTGGACCATCAGAACATGTCGGCCTCAGAGACTGTTTAGATCTCTTCCCCCAACCTGCCCGATAGAGGAGGAAATGGAGACCCCAAGTTGGGGAGGCTTGCTGGGGTGACTCAGATAGTTATTGTCAGCGTGGAGATTCCCACTCAGGCATCCTGGTCTGTAAAGCCTAGAATGTTACTGTCTCCCCCCAGGTCTCTTCAAGTCCTCATTCCTTCCCTCACCCACCAGCTTCCTCCTATGGGAGACTGGTTGGGGTTCTCCAGCTTGTTCTGTTGAGTGCAGCTGATCCAATTGTCTGGTCACTCAGATTTTGGCCTTAGACATTTTAT